ATCTTACCTGACATCTTGATCTAAATTTCCATCACAATTTAATAAGCAACGGTCTTAAAAACCTGTACACACAGTGTCACCGCAGGACAAAGACTTCCTCGGTGCCCTGCAAAGAGCCACGTTGCCACGATATGCCGCGATGCGACATTTCCTTAATAATAAAAACAAAAAACAAAAATTATTTTACTCCAATGCGTAATATTGGGTTAGTTAGTTACTGTTGCTAGGCAACTGTGGGTAGCGTCTGTTTTGTCTTGCACCGGCCATAATAAGGATAATTATAACTTTGAAAAGCAAGTGCTTTACAAGACAACGATGCTTAGATGCAATTTTATTATTACTTAATATTAATATTGTAAAAAGTATTGTATAAGTTTAATGACCTAAGTATTTGCATGACTTAATATTTCACCATTTAGGCTTATACAATAGGATAAGGAAGGGTATGAAAAGTTTAACAAACAAGAGAGCAACAATGACTTGAGTGATCGAGATGTAGATTAAATATATTTGGATCACGTTGCACACGTCGTTCCACACGTTTTGCTCAAGCATTGCATAATACGCTTTAAATTCTCTGAAAGTGTGAATATGAACTTTTCAATGTAATCCGAGGCCTTTGGCAAATGTTGAATCCAATTTAAGACTCCGTATTAAGTAATAATTAGTACTGAGAACTGTTTCAATGATTTGATTTTGATTGGTGGAAAACCTGAATTGAATAAGTACCCCCCCGGCTATTGGATAACGATAAGAAGAAAATATGCGGACGGTACTTTGTACCTGCGCTACGTACAAATGTGTCAAAATATTGATACAATGTACTGATATGTAGTAGACACGTGTGATCTTGAAAGATTAAGAAAAGTAGCTAAATCATGTGAGAATAAGAATAGGATTTTCGTATTTAGTTATAATAACCCATTAATTAGTATTTACTTACGTTAATTCTAAGTTCTGTAGTTCATCAGGAGTAAATTAAGAAGTAAGCGCAATTGCGACGTTCAGCAAGTACGATCACAAGTTACTGCTCGTTTTGTTTGTAACCCATAAGATAAATCGACAGTCAATCTTGAAAATGACGATTTTGCCGAACTATCCACTACGTATAATTTTCCTCATTTGACGTTGATGAAGATAAGGCTTTCAATAAATATCTATCCTTTGCTATGTGTTTACTAGTCGCTTAACATACTCCAAGATGATTCTAAAGTCGTCAGTGGGATTTTTGTAAGTCATAAATTAAAATGTTGTTTTGTTTTTATATATAAAAAAATGTATATAAAGAGAAAGGTTTCCTCAGAAAATTGTTTAAATATTTTTTCTTACTTTCAGAATATTGTTGATTTCGTTGTGTGAATGCAAAACGGCACACACTCGACATGAAGTCAGGAAGTTCCCTGAAGGGTTCCTGTTTGGGACATCCACAGCAGCATACCAAGTAGAGGGCGGCTGGGATGCAGACGGTAAGAAAGTTTTATAAACGAACAATTACAGAATTTTTATGACTATGATATGATTCTATGAGACCTTTAGCGAATTGATAATCTGTAAAGCAAATTATTGATTTCAGGTAAATCGGAAAACATCTGGGACCACATGACCCACAATAATCCATGTGTGATATTCGACTGCTCAAATGGGGACGTCGCTGGCGACTCTTATCACAATTATAAAAGAGACGTGGAAATGATGAGGGAATTAGGCCTCGATTTCTACAGATTTTCTCTTTCCTGGACTCGTATTTTGCCAACCAGTTTTCCTGATCATATTAATGAAGCTGGAGTGCAATATTACAATAACTTGATTGATGAGATGCTTAAATACAATATTGAACCAATGGTTACTCTTTATCACTGGGACTTGCCGCAAAGACTACAGGACTTGGGAGGTTGGACTAACCCACATGTGGTTGACTGGTACGCAGATTACGCTCGTGTTGCATTTGGCCTGTTCGGTGACAGAGTAAAGTATTGGATAACTATCAACGAACCCAGAGAAGTCTGCTATCAAGGTTATGGAGCAGACACTAAAGCTCCTGCAGTGAACTTCAAAGGTTTAGGCGAGTATTTATGCGCCAAGAATCTACTGCTAGCTCACGCAAAAGCTTATCACATTTATGATGAAGAATTTAGATCTAAATATAAGGGATCCATCTTTATTTCACTTAGCGGTCAATTTTATGAGCCAGAGAGCGAGGAATATATTCAGGCTGCTCATGAATCCAATCAGTTTGAGGTAAGTAAGGTCCTTTACAATATCATTAGTTATTTAAACTGTCACACACCAAGCGGTCACCGGTGACCGCAACCTATTGTTCTATAATTGTGTCTACAAAACCGGTACTCGACGAGTTAAATTACATATCACAAAGTGTCACAAACATAATGATGTTCTTTGTTTCAGTGGGCTATTTACGCTCATCCCATTTTCACCGAGACCGGTGATTTCCCTCCGATCGTTAAAGAAAAGGTTGCAGCTAAAAGTGCAGAGCAAGGCTTGTTCAGATCACGGTTACCTGAGTTCACACCAGAGGAAGTCGAATATGTGAAGGGGTCTTCCGACTTCTATGGACTGAATCACTATACAACGTACTTGGTGTACAGAAATGAGTCTGCGATAGGCCGTTATGATGTTCCTTCGTTCTATGATGATATGGGTAATGTGCATTACCAGCCTGATGACTGGGAACGTGGTGCGTCAGGATTCCTTAAGGTAAGCCTTTACTAGTACAATCTTATATTATACTATTAAATAAAGTGGAAAAGTTTGTTTTTTTTGTTTGTTTATTTGAACGCGCTAATCTTCGTAATTACAAGTCTGATTCGAATAATTCTTTTTGTGTTGGATAGCGCATTTATCGAGGATAGCTATAGGCTATAAAACATCACGCTACGACCAATAAGAGCTGAACAGAGCGTATGAAACCGCGCGGAAGTAGCTAGTACTATTTATTTCTGAGAATTTGCAATATCAGATACCTAATAGGCACACACCTATGGTAAGAAGATCTAAATTATGTTCACCAGTTATAATATTACAATCGACATGTACATGAAAACCTAACAATAATTACAATAAAAATTGCTCTTTGCACCCACCGTAATACTATGGCATCACCCTAACGACAGCCGGTACTCAGACTGGTATACTTATAATGCCGGCGGCTTTTAGTCCACCTAATGTACATACATGAGCATGAAGTTTTTTGAATAAAAATAATTTCGAACAGGTCATTCCATGGGGTTTCTACAAGCTACTGACACAAATCAGGAATGATTACAACAATCCTCCAGTGTTGATTACTGAGAATGGGTATTCGAGCTTCGGAGGTTTAGATGATGACAACCGTATCTCGTACCTGAGGCAGTACATCAGCGCCATGTTGGATGCCATGGATGAGGGGTCAGACATCAGGGCCTACACCGTCTGGAGTCTCATGGATAACTTCGAGTGGATGCGAGGATACAGGTCAGATTATAAAAGTATCTTTAGTTAATATTATTTTTCTGGTCTGGACAAATCCTGTTACGTATTAAAATAAGAATGACTATTTAAAAAACATTAATATTGTTATCAAAACTAGAATCTAATAAGCAATAACTCTGCAGCAGTTTTTAACTCCTTATTTATAAAACTATTATCCAGTGTTAGTATCTAGAAACAAATATTTAGTTTCAATAACAACCAGTTTTTACCGACTTCAAAAAAGGAGGAGGTACCGTTCGGCTGATAGTTTATTTTTTCATAAAAATTGAAATCATCGACGTTGGTATATGAAGTAAATTGAAATCAACAGTCATCTACATATTTCAGTGAAAGGTTCGGTCTGTACGAAGTGGACTACGAGAGCCCCGAGCGCAAACGTACACCGCGCAAGTCCGCCTTCATGTACAAGGAGATGGTGCGCACGCGCAGCCTCGACTGGCACTACGAAACCGACACCATGACTATGACAATCGATGACGGACACTGATAGTAACGTGATAATAATCTGATTGAAATAAAATATGAATGGATCTTTGATAAATACTTTCATTTAACATGGTACCCCTGCCTACACCCTGTAATTAATTATTATTATAACTTCTTTCTTTAATGCATATAATGCAGTTTTCTTATTCTTTATTTTAAAAATCACGTTACTTATATTAATTTAGTTTATTTTGAGCTTAAAAAAATAGGCTTTTAATTAATGTTGTTATTATAAAGGGAAAGAAAGGTCCATGGTCACACGCATTCGTACAGTTTAGATAGAATGATAAATCCAAATGAATAACCTCGCACTCACATATTGTTGGTATTGATAACGATGACAGATACTTAAAGAAAAGATAAATCTATTCATAAACACTTGTTTATCCTCCTTTTAACCTTTGCTCATATTTTTCTTATATATCTATCACTTGAGATGTTGCTAACCTCGTTAGAAATGAGATTCTGATGATGTTCATTACAAAAATACTTAAAGAAGTTTGCCTATAATATAGGTATAAAATTGAAATATGCAGTACCTATGTACCTCCAATTTATTTATATATGTTCTCTTGTGTACTCTCTGTGTGTTGTGCATACATTTATAAGTAAACTAGCGCTGCCGGGCTGATTTGTGAATCTAAACTATCCAGGGCGCCACTCAAACGCATACAGAAAAAATAATTTAAATCGGTCAAGCCGTTTAGGAGTTCAATGACAGTGTGTATGTACAGCAGAATTATATATATAAAGATAAGTCAGAGAGTCAATGTTCATTTATAACGCGTGAGTAACGGGAAGATGAAAGATTTCAGAATCTCAGTGACAGACTAGGATATCTACGTTCGTATAGAGAGAACTCTTCGTGAGTAAAACATAAAATGTATCTACATTGCTACGAACGCTACGAAGGAATCTGTGGCCATAACAACTGATTTCTAGGAACTAACTTTACAAATAAAGAACTTTTCAATAAAACAAGTATATATGAATATTGTCATTTATTCAATAAATAATATGTTGTTATTAATAATATTATTTTTGGCATCAAAACGCCTCACGCACCACAAACATTGAACAAAGCTCAACGTTTAATAAATACTGAAACAAATTATGCGCATGATATTATAAAATTGTTAGCAGTAATATTTACAAATTCATTCTATTACTTTAGCTATAAATATACACATACATAAATAACAGTCACATAAAATGTAAATAACCAAAAACATCTGCGCGTAAAATGATCTAAAATATATTTCGCGATCATATTATATTCATATCAACTAGTACCCGTGCTAATTCAAAACTAAACATACATTTATGTATTCACTAAAATATTGATCCCTAAAACCGGTAACAATTTGTAAGATCAAGTAGAGTATAAACATAAATAAACCATTTCAAGTTAAACGATACAGTAGACTTATCTTGAATAAAGAAACAAGATTGAAAACAGAAGGTTCTTTGTGCACGTTTTAAATATCATAGTTATTTAAATGAGAAAGAAAAGTTTCTTAACTATGGGTAAAGCATTTTTAGAGAGCACTAACAATACTCAGTTAATAGTTTTTAAAACATGTCAAACGGTAAAATCTATTCATTATTTAATAAAATTCACAAGTATTAACAATTCCTTCTTTTTAATATAGTCTCTCATCATTCTTCTCATTTAGGTACTTTTATTAATTTAATATTAGTAAAAATGTAACCCTCGAAATATCTTATTAATTTCATAAAGTGACAAAATAAACCATGGAATGTTTGAGTCGCAAAATAAACAATCGACCAAAATTAAAGAATGCAAATCAATTGTTATTTTAGTCGTATTGCTAAACGTTTAGGCAGAATTAAGCAGTTCAACTAACAATGTTTTAGTTTTTTTAAGAGTAAAGATAAAGAACACTGAGATACAGAAGATTTTTTGAATATATTGTATTCGTTATAATAAAGAACATTTACAAAGGAGATCAGATGAAACGTAGGGACGAAGGACTTCACACTAGGTACATGAAGCTATAGGACAGCGACACATGAATCCTGGTACATTCACAGTTATACACAGTACACAAATCCTAGATAAGTAAAGATATAAAATCACTTAAATCACTCCTAAGTATATACTTACTATGAACATTTTACGAGTTACTTAAGTAGAAAGGATCTAACTAGAGTTTGAATTGATTGCATCTGTTTGTTACGAGTAAGTCTCGGTCCTATCTGTATGTATACCATTAGAAAGTTGTTGTGATTCCTTTAATAAGAAAATTATTGTAACAAGAAATGAAATCATGTTCCGTAACTAAAAAAAAGTCGGAAGCAATTATGTAAAACTAATATCAATGCCTACAGTAAAAACAAACATTTAGTAAACGTAGGTTTACACTTCCTACTTACGTTACTCGTAAATGCTATACGTACGCTGATATTGACATATTATTCGTTTAAAAATAAAGTTATTTGGATCCGTGATTGCATTAAACAAACAATATGCCAGTGCCACGTGCATTAAAGTTTATATAATAATAAAATTATTGTAAAACTATGTTAACTCTATACAAATCTTCAGCAGTTCCTTGACTAGTATTCAGATAGGTATATATTGTACAATACAGGTCGGTCAGGTTCAGAAAGGTACATATGTAATTGCTTTTCAATATCAATAGTTTTACTTTAAATATATTATGTGATCTACTCTGTTTCTTAACATCGTGAATATGAATCAATCCTATAAAAATGTTAAAGGTTTTAAATAATTTCCCATAAAAAATATAAATTTTCACAACGACAATGTTGCCTTACCTTACAAATAACAATTCCAGAAATATCTCTTCTATTACTATTGTTTAATGGACCGTTATGATTCTAACCACTCATCACATTTGTCAAGTTTTGTATTGCTTGTTGTTATTAGGTAAATATATTTTCTATATGTAAATAGGTATCTTAATAATGAGGTACGAGTTTGCTTAACATTCACAATGGGGCAGACATTGGAGGCATATTTTTGTACGAAATGACACACGCTTGCATTAATAATATAATTTACATTTGTAACAATCGCTCTAATAATATTATAATCTACGAAAATTCAATCCATTCTTACAAGACGTTTAATAGTCAGCATGAATCTGCTTGGCAGATACCAATAGCAATTAGTAAGATATGGTTTCTGTCCTACATCACGGAGGTAAAGCAGAGAGTGATACATAGGAATGGGGCTCGTGGCTAGTGTGGGGTGGAGGTGGGATCACGCCTGGGTGTCCGCGTCCGTGTAGTGGCTGGGGCCCTCGGCGGAGCACACCGAGTCCTCGGGCGTGCGCGACGCGTCCCCCGCCTCGCTGGCCTCCACCACGCTGGCGCTGCCGCCCGCCTTGCCCTTACATCCGCGCCGCGCCTGTAGAGCCTGGCACACAATATATCATTGCACCACGTGCTAGCGTCTCAAATTAAATTAAACTGTAAGAAATATATCTGAAGCAGTTGGAGGCAGCATGTCCAAATCTCCATGAATGTGCATTTCTTCATGTTCATTTACTTTAATTATTTATTTAATCATTTTAGTACAATTACAGGTATTTCACGAGCGTTGTTAATTGCAGTACGAAGTTTAAAAGTATACTGGTGTAAAAACGATAAAGAATAGGATCTATATCCTTTCATTTTATTGAATTAACAATTAGTAGAAACAAAATCTAAAAACAAATAGGATTAAAGCTCTGCGTTTGGTATAAATAACAGACAAAATATAATATTTAGATAAAAAAAACAATAACAGCCCTTGGCCAAAATAACAGTCCAAAAGAAAGAGCAAAAGTGCCAATTCAGACAAAATAGAATAAGATTTATGTCGTTTCTGGCAATTTAGTTTTTTAGCTCGGTTCCAGAGCACAGAGAAAGCGTATATCGGAACATTGCGACAGTGAGGTGTGGGGCTGGGTGCAGGCACGAGCAGGCCGCGGGGTCCACGGGGTCATGCGGGTGCTCCACGTCAGTGCGCATGCGATATATTACGTAGCTATGTACTGGACGCCTCCTTACCTTTTCACGACTGCCCTTTTTCTAAAGTCGGTGTAGGATGGAAGATGAAACATTCAATTAATGATAGTGGAGGTAGAACACCGATAACGAGGACTGAAATTACCTAAACACTATTCACATTACTAACACTTTAGGTCATCATTTCAGGTCAATAGGTAGTAAAAGTTGGGTCCTAATCAAAAGGTTTTTATAAGGACAAGATCTGAATCTAAACATGTTATCATCCTCATTTGGTAATATAGGAACTAGTCGGTTGAAGAGGTAGTTTTTTGATAATGGTCATTAGTATACATTAGGTGCGCATAAAGGTTGAGCAAAACCTTACAAGGCTTACAACATTAGTACTTGTGTTACGTGTGCATTGTATTAATTTTTGCTTTCCACTCGTAGGTACTCAATAAAGCTTTCAGTTTCAATCTCTCAACATTGAAACTATGTAAACGAGTTTGATCTATAAAGTTGCATTAGTAATGAAAAGAAAACATCAGTTATGAATCTAATTTCTACTAAAGTGTAATTTACCTGTAAGGAGAATCGTCGATGCGGCGGTTTCCTGCCGCCGCGTCGCTTACTGATGTGTGGGTTGTCCCTGCGCAGTGTTTTGTTCCGTAAGATCTCCAGCTGCACGTACAACCTCTTCAGTTCGGCGCGAACTTCCTCGGAGGTGGGTTCCTCCTCGCCTTCCGCGCCGAAACCCTCCGCAGGACCTCGACGCGATACCTTGCAAAGTTTTTAAACACGTCATGATATATTGCGCTCATCAGGTATGCGGAATTTTATTACGCTACTTAATTCTGCTTCTGTGTGTTTCGGCGAATGTTTGATTTCATTTGAGTCGATTAGAATTTGATTCATAACCTCTGGATTCATATAATATTCTTAAGTTAGTTAGGTTAGACATGCAACTTGCACGATTCACATTAAATGCAATATCCACTTTTCACAAGTTATGTTATGAGAGTCCTGTGAGGTGAGCCCTTACTTCTAGTTTTTTATACGCACCTATTATTAGGTATACAATCAGCTAGACGATTCTGTAAGATGTCAATTCGTACTCTAGAAGTGAGCTTGAATTTCTTCTCGCATGTCATTGGTTGACATTATTTTCACAACCAATGACACGGTGGACTGCGATCGAGCTCACTCCGAGAGTTTGAATTGGCATCTTTCAGAATAGCCTAGCGGTTATGCCACCTTATGGGGAGTACGTTTCGACAATAAATAACCAGCATGGTTATGATGTTACCTCTTGAGCAAGCGAGCGCGCGCGGTAGCCGTGCCACAGGCGAGGCGCCAGCACGCAGGCCAGCGCCGCGCCCGCCGACAGCTGCGCGCGCGCCGCCGCCGACAGCGGCCAGCGCTCCGGCGCCGCGCCCGGCTCGCCCCACGCCACGCCGCGCCACCACACCCCGCACAGACCCTCGCAGCACAGCGCGGCTGCCAGCCAGCCTCGCTCCTGCAGAGGCAAGGAAACAAATTAGACAAACAATAAATAACTAGGTGTGTAGATTATAGAGTATGTAGTTATAAGTCTGGGACCTTACAAAATGTGTATGTAGGTATGTATAGGAATAGGAATTCGGTACCTGAAAATTGATAGCTTGCCAACATATTTTCAGTCCCCCATATAGCACAGAAAAGTGGTTCGAAACTAGTAGAGCTTTTCTCAGTATATTCACGTGAGTAACCCGCGTTTTTACTTAATTTAGCACAGAAAAGATTTAAAAATCTTTTAAATCTAGGTTTAGGGTCGTTCCGTAGTTTCGTGCAAAACGCATATCCAGACCTATAAACTACAGAATACTACTTCTTTTTGTGTTATTTTTTTCAGAATATGATCAAACATAATTACTCTTCAAGGAGTATCGCTAATATTGTAAATTAAGTCGATAGTTTTTTTTTTTAAATTAATAAATCTGCGTAAAAATTCATTCCTCTCTGTTTCCAGAGAGAGTCATCGGCAGATGTTTAATTATTTACTTGTCGACAATCAAACTTATGGCTACACTGAGTATGTCATATTGAAGCCTCACTCTTGGCCTACTAATTAAGCATTTTAATTATAAATTAAACATAGTAATAAAATTGGAAACCCATCTTTTCCAATTGTCACAAAAAAATCTTCATTGCCATCCGTTCCTAAAAACAAGTCAATTTTGTCGATAGTTTATATAATACTAATATAGTTCGGGATGAAACGTGTTCCTATGGATCCCTTAGCCCTGGTGACAGAGCACGGTGGACGTACACCCAACGTTGTTAAAAATATTTACGATCTCCGTATTGTTACTAGTGTTTCGTCCAGAAACCATTTCATTTCATTCCTTGGATTTATAAGGTACTGTATTAATGTAGTTATTTTTAACTAACTAATTATTGTTATAATACATTTATCTTGATTTTATTTTTTTATTTTATTTTTATTTCATTCAGTAATGGAGGAATCAAACAAAACAGTCGATTTTCTCATTCATCTCCTCTTCATTACCTTCAGTTCCTTCCTATTTTTTGTAAGCAGGTAATGAGCTGTTTTGGAAGGAAATGAGTCAAACAAATAAGAGTACAAATGAAACGAGCATTAACATGGCGAAACCCCGTAAAAAGTTAACCAGAGTAGAAAAGCTAGCAAAAGATAGACTTAAAAGTAATCCTGTATATTCTATATAGAAAGAAAAACAAAAGAATCAGATATTTAGCGAGAAAAGAAAAAAATAAGATTTCAGTATTCAAAGCATAACTCCTGGAGCACAATGAGAAGGCGTTGGCGCAGAAATTCTTAAGAAGGAAGGAAGAAAAAAGAATATTAGTGAAAACTTCTTCCCTGATTTTCTGTGTCACTCTGCGACACAGAAAATCAGATCATTTTGTATAAGTAGTTAGTGATTGCTTACGGCTGGTAAGAAGATGGTATAAACGCTAACACTGTGGCAATGGTATATTTCCTATCAGATTCTCTTTCCAGGAAATACAGAAACTAGAATATATTTTATATGATCACTAAATTGATATTAACCCCAATATAAATAGCGTGACGTGGAAAAATCAAGGTTCGAGCCACGGTAAAGAAGTTTCGGACGGCATTGGGTCAGTAGTAAAGCGAATTGCTGAAAATTTTGTAACTTATTGTGGAAAAGTTGGTTATAATTATGAAGATTTTTGGGGTTTACATATTAAAATTATACCAAACGTACACTTTGATATGATAACAGAGAGTGATATTGACGAAAAAGTATTACTTCATGATTTTTCAGTATGTAAGGAAACAATTCAAGTTCATCATATCATTTGGACCGCCGATTATAATAAGAAATAAACTTCGAAGTCTCAGTTGTTTCGATTATGAAGAATAAAACATTTGTATACGTAGTAAGCACTCAAGATTTCGTCGTTGTAATAATTATGGAACATTAGAGGCAGATCGATGTGGGAATCAACGTAATCAAGCTGAGGAAACATTAATTATTGACAATCCGTTAGTTAAGATATATCTACAATTTAAACAACTTAAATGAATCAGATTTTCTCAAAAATTTGCAACCTCTGTGGGTCCAATCGATTTCCAGCTCTCGCCATTGATAAATCAAATAAAATTAAAATATTATCTGACGTACGTTTGAATTAGGAGAACAGAACATTTTACAACAAATCAAGCAAGTTGTACCCAAAAAAATTAGAAGCTGCTTCTACTTCTGAACATCAATGAGAATTCGAATCTTTTACAAACAAAGATTGCAATGTTGATGAATCTGATGACAGTGATAACTTTTATTTTTTTTAAATATTTAATATATATATTTTTTAATTATAATTTCAGAAAACCGCCTTCAACTCTTCTACAATTTAAATCAATAATGTCTTATGAAAAAAATCATTGCTTATTGATTTCTCAAGTTATTTCTAAGGTTATTTGATTATATTTGTGTGTTGAAGTATAGTTTTCATTGTTTTTTTTTTGTATTGTTTGATAGAGTATCGATGTTTCAAATGCAACTATTTTGTATACGAGTAGTGTTAGTTGATTTACTAGTCCGCTTTTCATAATTGTACCACATTAGTTAGATTTTAGATTCTCAGTAAAATTTGGTATGATTGACTGCTTGCATGAAGCATAGTAAAACATGTTGATTATTGAATTGATTATTCTCTTAGGCTTTACGATTCATTACATTAACCTAGCTTTCCCTATGGCTACACTACGCCCTTAGTTCATTACAATCCTGACACTTTTCATTGCCATCCATTACCTTAATTTGGAATGTCAATTTCTTCGTAATTAAGCAATATTAAAAAGTGCCTATCTTATTTTTACAATCCTGGGGATTAACTTAATACGATGAATAAGTAAAAAATACAAATACACCATTTTTATTTTTGTTCCGCGGAACGGTTCAATTTGCACGAAACTACGGAATCAACCTTTAATACCTGGAATGGCACATTTGCATTCCTAGCCGCATACGCTATGCGTAATCCCGCAGCTAGTAGCAGCAACTCTGCTCCAGCAGTGACATGATGCCAAGCAGCGCGTGCGCAGCCCGCACTGGCGTCCTCCTCACAGGCTGCTGTGGCGGTGAACGCTGCCAAGTAGCACGCTGCGCCCAGCACCATCGCTCCAACTACTCGCAAAACCTGTAAAAGTAGTTGGAGGACATTTCTGCTTGTATTACTTATCTACGATATGATATGTAGGGATTTAAGGTAAATATTAAAAACATAAATATAATTATGAAACGTATAATTTTACTTCTGAATCCCGCGGCGTCCACCGATGGGCTTTCCTAGTGCGGAACTCAGCGAGCAACACCCAGAGTCGCAGCACCACGGAGCCATAGCACGCGACAAAGCCAAGTTCCCGCAACCACGCGCCTGCTATGCATCGCCACTTTGCGACCGATATGAACTGGGATGCCGCCTAGAAATTCAAATTAGACAAATGAATAATAATCTTTAAAAAATATTACTAAATATAGAGGTATTTGAAACAAAAATAATAAATTTAATACTTACGGAAGCATACATTAGAAACGCACCAAGAAGAACAACTTCTAACACTGTCCACATTCCCACTGCCACCGCCTGAAAAAAGTAAATAACTCTATTCAATTCACAATTCAGAAACATTAACCGGAATAATGTAACACAGTGCACTCCATAATCAAACTTACTTTACATTTTCTCTTGTGGAATATAATTACTCCTGTCACAAGACAGAGTAGCATGCCACCCACGTTGCCAGCCAGCACAGCAACGCGATGGGCATCAGTCAAGCAGGCAGTGGAGTCACTGCCCATGCCACAAGGTGTGCAAGTCAAAGGACCAGAGTCGTCTGCTATTAATGTAGCGCCAGTCAGCCATCCGCTACCGCCTGAGTTCCAATGCTCTGCCTGACACTTGCATCGATACTGAAAAGAGATTTTTTTAAAGTTAGTAAAAATTTAATAAACTATTGAAGAAGAACAATAAAACCAATTAAAAAACGTATGTCACCTCTATTTTGCGGTCTCCAGATCCAAATGATGGAGTAGCTTCACAATCTGTCGTAGCAAGATCGCATAAAGGAGCTCCGCCTAGCCAGTCGTTCATAGCTTCTTCACAAGGTAGAGCAGGCCAACGTCGGAAGAGAGCAGCAGCAGATCTCGCAGGTCCTGAGCCACGAGCTGCTGCTACACCTCCCCACCAGCCCTCACCATTCTTATCACAAGAGAACCACGCATTCGACCACACTGCTGTAGTGGCATTCCATGCTGATGCCAATGTTCTCCAAAACTGACGTAAAGTTATTGAGTTGTTTTGTTGGAAGACAACGAGCTTAGGTGGTTCGGCTATGTAGAGGACGCCGAGATGTAACTGTGGAGCTCCAAGCGCGACGGCCGCGGGTGGAGGGGAGAGGGGCGCGCGGGTGGCTGCGCGGGCCAGTGCTGCAGCGCGTTCTTCGTCCGCCACGCCTTGTTGCACTAATTCCACCAGCGCACGCGCCGTATGCATTGCAGCCGCCTCGTGCTCACGAGCATTCTATAAAGTAAAAACAAATTTGTAAAAGATTGGCAAAAACTAATCAGATGTCATATAAAACAAAGTTTGTAACCCTAAATCTATAAAGAAGAAAGTACACACTACGAGTTACGAATTATGCCCTATTTAGCTAGTACAGCTACGCAGTACTAGCTACTAACTACCTGCTACGAACAACGAGCTACGACCAAGGGCTACGAACTATGCCCTGCGAGTTTTTAGCATTGCACTACGCACTACAAGCTACTAACTACCTGCTACGAACTATGCCTACGAGCTTATAACTACGTGCTACGAGCCATGAAATAGACGCTACGAGCTATGGTTATAGTTTCGCTATAACTAAGTGTAAAATTATGTAGTAAAGAAACTATCAACAAATTTTAAAACTTAGAACTTCTTTTAGAAAATTAATTCCTTAAACTAGGTGGTAAAACGTACGCGCTACGATACAAGTCACGAATTACGCGCTACGAGCTACGGCTGTAGTATTTCCTCGCAACTAAGGTTTATTTTATTTATTTAGAAAACCAACAACCAATATAATTTACAAAAGGTTGTGTAAATTACCGAGACAAAGTACCGTTACAAGGAAATAAGTATTGTAGTGTGCTTACTGATGGCATAGGCGGCGTGTTCTTTAAGACGAGGGGTTCGCAGACGGACGCGGCAGGTCCCGAGGCTGGCGACAGGGGGGTGGCGGCGGCGGCGCTGGCGGTGGGGAGCGGTGTGCGCTGCTCGGCCGGCGCGGCCACTGCGCACGCGCACCACGCCAGCGCCCACGCCGCCCACCGCACCTGCATCCTTCACCTGGCTAACCTTAAGTGCTGGAAGCATTACAAGTTTGAACTTATTAATTCCAAGTCATTCATCTTACGATTGTTTAAATCCAATAAATTAAACACAAGGTTTTATAGCCATGATAAGCCAAGGCTTTATAGCCTACAAAGTAGTTCAGAGATAATGGCAACGCCATTATAAATCAGTACTGTCAACTGTGTGTATCAGGTTCTTGGATTCTTCAAGTTCTTAGTACTTCAACCTATTTATTTGACAATAATTGCTTTGCTCACACATGACCCGATGCGGAGCGGGAACGACTGTTGTCTTGTTTCCCACTTTATGGCTTAGTAAAGAGAAGTGTCTAGACAATATTGATTTTGAGTTGAGTTTGACTTCGATTTCACTATAAAGAATGTAAGTTACGACTTTTATGTATACATTTCCACAAAGTATACAAACTTCAGCAAACATATACACTCAGAGTCGGAATCAAAATGTTAATGAGCAATATCTTATCGCAATACGTGAAAAAAATGTTTACAAAATAATGTCTTAAAACACTAACAAAATTAAATAGTATTCCAATTTGTATATAATAAATTCATGGAGGCGTAAAACGATGAACCTGGAAAACCGATACATCGATATCGGGCAAGTATACTCACAAATGTCTAAGCAAGTGCGAACTGTAAAGTATTTTTACTCGAATTGTTTACTGGTAGGTGTTTGATCTATAACTGATCTATAACTGAACTAAGATGCAAGCATATCATGCATCTTTCTTTATGATATGTAAAATAACCTCGAGCTAAAAGAGCTAATCAGAGTAAACTTTACTGTTTTATGCTCACTACGTAAGTGAAAACCAATTTCTGACACATATTGCTTATCTAGTACCTACTTAACTCTTTCGATATTTTCTCGGACGTCGATTTTCTTCGACGCTTACCGTTCATGAATAAATAAATAAGTTGGTACTTTAGATAATAGGAAAACACGTTACGTGCGAGACTAGCTTGTCAATGTTTTACATTATGCGGATTTACCACAGGAGATAGCGGAGTTTTATTGCCCTCTTAAATATACCTGTAGTGGCTATAGTACCTTGTCCATAGTAGCAAGAAAAACCGACCAACAAAATTATAAAAAATTATATAATTACAATATTACGTTCAGACGGACAAATGGAATGCAGAGGTTTTGTAATAGAATTCCGCTCACACTAGATATAGAACTCCAATATAATCTACTTCTCCACGTAAATGAGCATGCGTCTCATGTTACCTTGAGATTCCGCGAGGTAATCTAATCTTCCCAGATCAGGGGGGTTATCCATAAGTGTCTGATAAAATGTAATGAATAAACGAACACGACAAGATTCAGTCAAGCATCAAATCCACTGTTTATGTACACTTGACGACCTTTTTTATGGGATAAGCCGGTAAACGAGCAGACGGATCACCTGATGGTAAGCAATCGGCGTCGCCCATGGACACCTGGAACACTAGAGGCGTTAAAAGTGCGTTACCAGCCTTCTGGATTAGGAATTTGATGATTGTTGGAATTCAGGGATTGGGGGAAAGGGGGGGGTGGTAATTTGGCCCTGGTAACCTCACTCACACGACGAAACACAACACAACGTTGTTTCACGTCGGTCTTCTGTGAGGCCGTGATATCACTTCGGTCGAGCCGGCTCATTCATGTCGAAGCATGGCTCTCCCACACTTAAAAATACTGCTGCTAGATACTAATTGATCTCTGGTTTTATGTATGTACCTATTTACGGTTTCACGTAGGTACTTAGATATGTGGTGAAAAATACTCTGAATAGGAATTTTACTTTTTACTTTGGATAAAATAAGCACCTTAGCATAGGAGTTGAATTTGTAGATTCCTAAATACAGGTTTATATTAATGAACGGCACATAATTGTAGTTACACTGCTGTTTATATCGCATGTCAACGTCAGGCCACGTAGCCCGCGTATTTCTTTGTAAAGTAGTTTTACTGGTGTCAATCATTTCTGTATTAATTAATCGCTAACTTTAAACATAATTTAAGTATTCTAATGAAATGTGATGAACTTGAATAATAAGAATATAAATAAATATTTACACCACAAAATAAACTAAAACAGTAAGAAAGGCCGAAAAGAAACTAATAGAAAAAAGCAATTAGGCGTCAAATCCTCATCGCGTTCACTAGGGATATACTAGTTAATATATAAAAAAATTAAACAATGAATACAATTTTAACATAATAAGTTGTTCGAACTTCAAGCTACTACTGAGTCCAAAGATTGTGTACCAGTAATGTCCCAGAGTTATTATTGCTTATACTCGTGAGTGACGCTACTACTGACCATGTCGCAAATATTCTTTTTTCAACCTGAGAATCAAACTAGAGAGAGATCTATACAAATTATAAGTATCTATGTTGTATCATAATATATCGTCCAATCACTTACTGGCTAGTGTTATGTGGCATAAAAGGCTTCTAACGTAGTTAGGACTTCAGAAGCTGACATTCGACTGTAATTTGATAAAATTCGCAAAAGGCCCATTCACGGTGATTCAATTTTCAATGCGATTTCTCAATTTTCGTTCTCCACCAGTCTACGAAGGGGTTGGTTTAGTAACTAGTAGTAGGGTTTCTTAATTGATTTGTTAAGAAAATAAATTTGTCTATGTACTACCCGGGGTTGGGTAAAATGTTATTGGGCCATTCTGGGTTTTAGCAAATTATTAGAAATATGTATTATAAAATGTGGAATCGTGCCAATGCTCAATATATAGCTGACTATCTTATAGCATTTTCGACTATTCTGAGGTCCCTAAATATCAAATTTAATGATGTTTATAAAAGTGAACAATCAAAATGTAAGTAAATACAAGAAAAACACTGAACTATTTTGTTGGTTTTATTTACATTGGCCTTACGTACTGACCTTATATTTATTAGGTACACGATATGATTTATCCCTTAGGTATTCATTGAGCCGAGTTAAAGATTTCCACTCAGTTAACATTTAGGGGTTGTAGACAGCATTGAGACAGTTATTTACTATAACGTGGAGTCTAAATTATGTAATTACGTCACACTTGTCTCCCATTGGGGTAGGCAGAGCCAATAGAACACTAAACGACATGATTCTGATTTAGTTTTGATATTTTTTAAGTTTATTGAATAGACCACAATATTATCAATTTCAAATACACAATTTATTTCAGTTTTGGTGGCTTAAAAGCCAATTTTAGATTTGAAGACCACCAGGACTCCAGTTATAGATGAATTGGAGTAGGTATTCCTAATTATCTAATTTGATCATCTGGGTTTATATAACTTTTTGATAAATTTATATGTCCGCATGCTTAAATACTACAACTAAATATTATTAGTGTTGACCAAGTCTGTTATTGCGGCCGTAGTAATCAGTGTCCACGTAGAAGCAGATAATCCGCACGCTATTGCTCGACTTTGATCACAAGCCCGATATGCCAGGCGCCATTGCCATTCACTAGGGACATTGAAATGTGGACCGCCACTCGAATATTGATCGTGTTGTAAACGTTTAAAGTTTAAAGTCATTATGACTAGTAATTAGTTACTAAAACTAACACTATCAACTCCCATGGGAACGACGATTTCCAGGTAAGGTGCGAGTCGTATGAGATTGTGGAAATTGCGAATTTGACAGCCAATAATAAAGTTTTGATATATGTAGTGGTGTATTTTTTAATTGTGTTAATAACTAATTATAATTTAAGCATACAAGGTGTAGTTTTGCAACCGTGGCATTTCTCGGGGGCATGTCACAGAAGTCATAAAGGTTCAATGTAAAAGAAAATTTCGGGCCAATGTTTAAAAATGCGGCTATATTAAATCGTTTCAGGAGGTCTACTCTGATTCGACGAAAAACGAAGTTTCGGACGAAACTTCGAACATTACCTACCACAATGGCATTTATTACGAACGAAAAAAGAATGAAAAAAGCCAAAAATTAGTATGAGATGTACTGTTTGACATCGATATTTTCGGAACCCTACTCTAATTGTACAATCCGCACGAACGAAAATTCGAGTTTGACAGATTATTCTTCGGACGTTTAATGTCATTTCGACGAAACCAAAATAGTTATCGTTTGATTTTCGTTTGGGTTAAATTTATTGAAAAATGAAGGAAAGTAATTATAAGTCTTCGTTTTGTCACGGTTTCTTTGTGTGGGCAACACGTAGGGCACCAAAGGAACTACTTAAATGACGATATAAAATCAATGTACAGTCAGCTCAAATAGTTTGTTAACACGAACCTATATATTTTATATGTCTATGAGAGTTAGTAACATTTAGGGTAATCAAATACTTATTTGAATACCTTATGTATTGTACATAAATGTTTCATGTGTAATGTTTTATTTTAAAACTATACCGCTTGAAAAATTAACTTAAGTATTGCTAATATATATTTTCGATATTCTTTCACATCTATTAATATACCAATATTTATAGATAAGATAAATTCTTTCAAAAATATATTGTTAATCATCATAACACGAAATAATTTAGTCTCTTCAAATTCTAATGTAGACATTTATAATTTTTAAACTGACTGTACTAATATAATACGAATAAATTTGGTTGTCATTATTTTATACATAAATGTCAATAAATGACAATAAAACAACATTCTAAAACTTTTTTATTTGGTCGTATAATAAATTTCTGAAAGGAGGTTTTATCCTGTTTAAGATTTTCCATCTTAAACGTTAATATTAAAAGATTATTCATGATTTTCTTGATGATTATGTGTGTTAAGCCATGGCATTATTATTTTAGTAATATAATTGCTTAAAATAAAATTTTATATTAGTTTTGAATCTAAACCTACTTATTGCATATTTATTTATCTTCATTTCATTCGTTCATTGTAGTTCACGAAAGTTGTCTATGGTTCCGAAAACGTTGTTTGCCGCCGCAAATCAAACGAAACTTCGCATTCGAGAACCGGAGTAGACCTACAGGTTCGACAGTATTTCAGAATATGC